TTAAGTTCAATGGAGACAAATATGTTTTTCTCTCATTGCACAAATAATCAAACCAAATTTTTATGTGTATGCCATTTCCCTTGAAATTTCATTAGATCCATATAAATATAAGGTTAGATAATTTCACATTTGAAATTAACACCCTCCCGGGATTTCCCTCCAGAAACTACACGTATAAATGACCCACATTTCCGATTGGAAATTCACCTCCGGAAAATCGTCTTTACAAATAACATTTTTTTTATTGTTTGGTATTTTCATCAACCTGAAGACTTTTAGTAGTATTTTGTAGTTGATATTTCAATTCATACGAAAATGATTTGACAAAATCTGATTCTGTAAACATTGTAGCGGCTGACATAGTTGAGATATCATAACCAGTATCAAAATCGACTTATTAATTCGAGGTAGAGATTCAAAATGGTTGTGAACTACGTTTGTGTGTGTTATTTCCATAATGTAAGAACCAAACGTAGTTTCGTATGAATCGAGCTTACGTAATTATATAAGGGGAGAGAATGTGTAAATAATTTCTAATGTAACATTGTGTTTGAATCTTCCAGAGTTTTGTGTCTTTTTATTTTCCCAATATCTAAGTACGGAATTCAGTAAAATAAACTTACCAACTCTAAAGGGACATCATTGCATTGTTTACACATATACACGTATTCACAGTTCATCAAATTCATTATCAATATTCTCACATTTCACAAAATCATTGTTTCTTAATATTGTCCAGTTTCGATAACCACGTGCAATCCAGACACCCCTGAAGTAGTATCGTCCAAAGACGGGAGACTACTCTTATCGGATGATACATCCGGTTGTAAAAGGATGTTTAAGTTGCTTTCAACAGTCGAGCAAATATATTTTATGCACATCTGGATACGATCGAAATTATCGTACAGGAATATTTTTAAGATAGTTTAGTAGTTTTTGATACAATACAAGTAGCTTGTATAGTTTCAATTAATATTCTAATTAGACCCGCCCATCGATGAGAACACATATATCTTTGCATAACTGAAAATGTTCATAATGGTATCCTTAGACCGAAACATCCTGTCTCTCAATGCCGTCGGCAGAGATAACATTTCTTTCGAGGTACAGTCTGACTTGAGAGGTACACCAAGACACACATCCTGTGCTGAAGTTGTATTGGAGGAGGGACGGGGCGATAGGTACGTGCTGGACTTTAAATTGAAGACAAGGCAAAATGTTCCAAAACAGTTCCCCCTAAATATACTCCAGTGACACTTTCGAATAGAAACATTTTATTAATAAGATCTTATATAATATCAAGGCTTGTTTGTATTCATTGTATGGAAGAATTTCCATATTACAAAAGCTTTTTATAATCTCTTAAAAACATGCATAGTGGTCGGAATTAATGACTTCTGTTATGAGAATGAAATCTCTTGGAACTTTATCTTCACCAAATATACAAATGGACAAAATATTAATTATCAGGATCCTTATAATTAGTCTTTGCCACTGTATGGACAATTTTGAAGTGCTTTTACTGGACCAAGGGCAATATCTGGGAAAACCAGCTTAATCTTATTGAATGAACAAGTTATATTGATTTTCATTAAAATTACATGACTTCTGTAAATAAAACTATGCTATTAATGGGGGAAAATTTATAGTATGATGTCACTAAATTTACAAAACACGGAATAATAGATAGGAGTTTTGTGTGACCTTTTCCTTGACTTTAAGTTTAAATGCAACTACATGTACTTTGAAATTTCAATTAAGAAACGCTGTAGCAACATTTATTGGAATGCAAGCTGCACATATCAGAACAATACATTGGCTTTTAGAAACTTTTAGACTCAGTAGAGTAAAAATCTTTTATTCTCTAGTAACACCCATGTTTTGTGCTTAAACAAATTTACATTTGATGACCAATAAATCATTTCAATAAATATTTAAAATTTGTTAGAAATTTTCAAGTGGGCATATAATAATTGTCTTTGTGAAACTAGGAAGAAATCATGGAGTGGGCTTTCTTTTGTAACTGAATGTTAAGTATATATATATATATGTATATCACAATTATAAGTATCAACAGTAACAATAATTCAGACATTTTTGATAACAATGTAGTGGAATGACTCAACAAATGATCTAGAATAATCTAGAATAGTATAAATGCATATTGCAAAGGAATGTACATAGGAATAGACAATAGGAATTAAACAATAAAACACTAAGATATATATACTACTTCTGCATTTATTACATACTACGTTTTGGAACACATACAGGTAACGTTATCAAGTAAAATGATTAACAACAAAAACAATACAATTTATAAGGAGATCTTAAAAGCCATTGGGAAGATAAAGGGAAAGATCTCCTTATATATCTTCCCAATGGCTTGTAAGATCTCCTTATAAATTGTATTGTTTTTTGTTGTTAATCAGTAATAAATGCAGTATAATATTATATATCTTAGTGTTTTATTGTAATCTTCCTACTTCTATATGTTTTATAAACAATATGACAATAGGAATTGTCTGTAAAATTTAAATAATCACTTTTTGGTATAATGACAAGAATTTCATCACCAAACCTATACCCCATTAAATCATGTTTATCAACTAAACCTTGACTATCCACATCTTACTTTTCTATTTTAGGATGTGGATAATCATTGTACCAATGCTTAATGAACATGCCATCAAATACATCATCATACATAGAGTCCTGTATACTTCACTTATCAAGTTGAAGTTTGGGTTGGTGCTTGATTGGTGAGTTCTGAACATGTTCTGTTTGTTCCAATCCTGGCCTCAATCGAACGGTATGGAACCAAATATGTCACATACAAAATTTTCCTATCTCCGCCATTCTGTAAACACCTTCTATTTATTTGGTGTACATGTGGAATGTGTTCTGAACCCTGTTCCAACTTGTTTTGAATGCATGAATCCGAAAACGTGCAGAATTCACCAATGGTGCACCCCCCCTAAATTATAATTCAAACAATGCAATATAAGCTAATATTAATATCTGCATCGTCTATATAATGAAATTATAGCTGAAGTATATGGGTATGGTATTAGGTAGTTACTGCACAGTGGTTGTTCATTCTTCTCATATCTCAGATCACTTGTTAATGTTGCTCCTGAAATATACATTTTCATTACGATAATTTTATAATGATGTTATTTATTCAAACAGGGCCATATTTAAGGCTTGAGGCCTGTAAAGAAGGTACAAGCTACAACTTAACAAGTTTAGCTAAATGCTGTAAATTTTCTGATTATCATCAAGTTCAATAATAATTTAGAAACGTTTTCAAAAAGCATTGCTTATAGAATGAGCTTGAGACTATACTTGACCCTTTCGAAAATCACATTTAAGTGTCTATCATTACAACTTTTACTAAATCAAGGGCAATAACTCAAACTTTTCATTAAATCCGTCAAGAATTGTGTCTTCGAGGTGTTTTTCAAGTGTGGACAGACGGATCAACATGGGTGACGCCAATATGCGCTCCACTTTTCATGTAGATATAAAAGGGGGTATATTGAGCAGTGGCGTTTCTAGGAAACAACAGGTGAGCGGGCAAAGAAGGGGCCACAAAATTGTCTGGGGGATGGGCACAGAACATTCTTTTACTATGTAAAATGATAAAAAAAATTGAAAGTTGGGGGGCCAAAGCCGGGCCAGCATCCTAACACCACTGATATTGAGCAAAGTAGCCATGTTGTATCTTAATTGTCTGGTAGTAGCCTCTTTCAGGAAAGTATTTAGATCAGATCTTGGATGCTGTTTATCATTGACTTCATTGTGAGAGATGAAGAACAATAACATTTTCAAGAGAAAGCTAAATTGGCTTATTGACAAGTGCAAAGAGTGTCTATATACTCGTCATAACCCAGTCTTAAACCATTATCAAGTTAATAGATATAATGTTATAGTATATCTACTGCCACTGGGAACTCTTAAAACTAGTAAATTTAATAAAGCAGGACGTCTGTTGGCTATTTGTTGGAAATGTGACACTAATAAGAAAGCAGACTATTAACTTGAAACCTGGAAACAGAACAACTAAATGCTTTTTCTATGTCAGCCACTTCAACCTATATCATCAACAGGGGGAAGCCAATTTTTAAAACAATCCATTTTAGCCAACCTTAAGGCATTAGTCTTAAGAATTTGGTCGAGAAAAAAAGGTCCATAAAAATCTTCCCTGCTGCTTTCACCAGCAAAAAATGGTTGGTCACCAACTCTTTGAAATAATCTTGCAATGGGAGTCATTTGAGGTCTCCCCTTGTCAATAACACAGGTAAGAGGGGCTGACATGGAAAAAGCGTCTAGTCATTCAGATAGGACAATAAACCAAGGCCCTGTGTGCTACATAACAGGCTGTGCATTCTATAAATCCATGGACAGTGGGAATTAAAAAAGAACAGGCTAATGCCACTGTCTTGATACACTGAATGGCGTTGCCTGTTTTCATCAGCACTCTAGAACCAGAAAAGCAGAACATAAAACTCCATTCATTACATTTCAAGGTCAGTAACTGAAAAGCATAGTGTTTTCAAGAATCATGTAAATACTTGACATTCAAGTTTAGCTGATTGATTTACTAGGAGGGTTGGTTGAAAAGTTCTAAACCTTAGTGGGATGTCTCAATTGAATTGAATCCAACCTTTGCCATTAACTAGTACACTCATTTAACAAATCATAGACATAATAACTGTACCTTGTACCAAAAAAAACACCTTGTGAACCTCATCATTTGCTAATCAGATGTCAAAGCTCTTGACAGTGGATAAGATCTGACAATAAATGTTATGCCTATGTTATGCCACAAAAGTGGAGAAAATTGTTCTAGTAATGATGACATCTCGTGAATGCTTTGTGGCTTCAGAAACTTTTCCAGGCCTTACAGCACCCCTGGCAAAAGTGTTGAAGGGAGCTGGCTTAGAACTTTACAGCCAGCCCTCGTAGTAACTACTAGTAAATAATAATATACAAATTTTATGATGGAATTTATTACAACTGATTATCAATAAATTAAAAGGTAGAAGCCTATTTACAATTATGCATTTATATAGGTTGTTGCAAAAATTACAAATGTATATTTTTACAGTTCGTCCAAATCTGTTTTAGTAGAGATTTATTTAGCCCTGTCTTGCAACCATACATTTAATCAAAGTCAAAACTTGTAAACACAAACAAAACAGAAAACAAACTCAGTCGAGGTGCAAATAAACAAGGTATTGCAATCTAATTTATATAAGATTACTAGATTCCATTGTAGTCCGAAAAAAAAATAACGAAATGAAATTGTATTCTTCTTTTGATTAGATTGGGATTATTGATACCATAAAAAAAATGAAGCCAATTGTTTTTTATCAATACCTTATTGACTTTTCTACTTTGAATAGTATCAGTATTCCAGCATTGAACACTGTTCCACTTGACAAAATACAGATTAGAAATCCCTTGTGTCTGCACTAGAAACATAAAAGTCACACAGCACAACTAACCTAAGAAAATTTTTTGATAGAATGTCCTTTACCACTGGTGGCAAATTAAAGATTAAAGGGAAAATTATCATCAAAAACTATCAATTAATCCAACTTTTCGTTCGAGAAAATCGTTTAATCTTCAAGACAAATTGACTCCTTTTAAGTTCTTTGGGTAGTTTGATTTGTCTTGAAAATATTAATTCCACTTTGACTCTGGACGTAGGAAAATAATTAAGTATGATTGCACAATGCCAAGTATGAATTTCCTATCCATCTCTAAGCTGCATCTCTTTCTGCTCTTCTTCTTCTCCTTCTCTCTTCCCTACTTTCTTCCACTACTTCTTCCTTAGTTTCTTTTTCTCTCTCTTCTCTTCTTCTTCTTCTTCGAGCTTCTCTATCATCCTCCTTAGGCTCTTCTGTCTCTACCTTACTACTGGAGCTTTCCTCCTCAGCTTCTTTTGTTGCTTCTTCTTTGGCTTTTGACTTGTCTTCACTTTCTTCCCCAAAATCAAATCCTCCTTCATCTTCATCAGCATCTCTGTTAAATTTCCGAATTGGTTTTGTTTCTGAGTCAGTGACAGGATCTTTTTCAACCTCAGTATCTTCTTTTTTCTCAGCAGTTTCACCAAAATCAAGCCCTCCATCATCTTCATCTTCCCTTTTAAATTTTCTGACAGAGGCTTCTTTTTCACCTTCTTCTTCTTTTTTTTCTTCCACTTTTTCTTCTGTATCACCAAAATCAAGTCCTCCATCATCTTCATCGTCCCTTTTAAATTTTCTGCTTGGAGCATCTTTTTCTTCCTTTTTTTCTTCACTATCACCAAAATCAAGCCCTCCATCATCTTCATCGTCCCTTTTAAATTTTCTGACTGGAGCATCTTTTTCTTCTTCTTCCTTTTTTTCTTCGCTATCACCAAAATCTAACCCTCCTTCTTCATCTTCTTCTTGACGTTTGAATTTTCTAACTGGAGCATCTTTTTCACCTTCATCTTCTTTTTTATCTTCAGTATCACCAAAATCTAACCCTCCTTCATCCTCTTCTTCACGCTTGAATTTTTTAATGGGAGCTTCTTTTTCTTCATCTTCCTTTTTATCTTCAGTATCACCAAAATCTAACCCTCCTTCTTCATCTTCGTCTTCACGCTTGAATTTTCTAGTAGGAGCTTCTTTTTCTTCATCTTCCTTTTTATCTTCAGTATCACCAAAATCTAACCCTCCTTCTTCATCTTCGTCTTCTCGCTTGAATTTTCTAATGGGAGCTTCTTTTTTCTCTTCCTCTGTCTCTTTCTCTGCACTATCACCAAAATCAAGACCTCCTTCTTCATCTTCATCTTCACGCTTGAATTTTCTAATGGGAGCTTCTTTTTTCTCATCTTCTTTCTCTTCACTATCACCAAAATCTAAACCTCCTTCTTCATCTTTTTCTTCACGTTTGAATTTTCTTATAGGAGCTTCTTTCTTCTCTTCTTCTTTCTCTTTACTATCACCAAAATCTAAACCTCCTTCTTCATCATCTTCTTCACGCTTGAATTTTCGAATGGGAGCTTTTTTTTTCTCTTCTTCTTTCTCTTCAGTATCTCCAAAATCTAAACCTCCTTCATCTTCTTCTTCACGCTTAAATTTCTTAATGGGAGCTTCTTTTTTCTCTTTCTCTTCAGAATCACCAAAATCTAAACCACCTTCTTCTTCTTCTTCACGCTTAAATTTCTTAATAGGTGCATCTTTTTTCTCCTCCTCTTTCTCTTCAGAATCACCAAAATCTAAACCTCCTTCATCTTCTTCTGCACGCTTAAATTTCTTAATGGGAGTTTCTTTTTTCTCGTCCTCTTTCTCTTCAGAATCACCAAAATCTAAACCTCCTTCATCTTCTTCTGCACGCTTAAATTTCTTAATGGGAGCTTCTTTTTTCTCGTCCTCTTTCTCTTCAGAATCACCAAAATCTAAACCTTCTTCATCTTCTTCTCTTTTGAATTTTCGAACAGCTTTACTATCCTTCTGCAATAGAGTAAATGTAAAAGTAAGGAAATTGCATTTTGTAAGCTCTTCACAAGTTTTCAAAATTTCCAGAAAATTTCCGCTTAACCCTTTGAACACTCAAATACTAGGAAATAAAGCATCATATACTCTGAACTATAAGAACTGTTTGAAAATTGAGTCACTCTCAGATTCTTGCAAAGTCTATATGGGTTTGCTTTAAATTTGACAAAATTGTGACGAACAAAGGAGGCTTCAGTTTTTATAAGCTCTTGAAAATGAGAAGTAGAGCAGGCTAGTTGTGAATGATAGTGACTCTGTCATTGCAGAAAACGTTTGAATACAAAATTTACCTCAGATTCAGATTCTTTATCATCTTTATCTTCTTTGTCATCTTTATCTTCTTTGTCATCTTTATCTTCTTTGTCATCTTTTTCCTCCTCATCTCCACTCTTTTCTTCATCCCCTTTTTCCTAAAATAATATGATAATTTGGATTTTAATTTCACAGTTTTTCTTACATACTTTTCAGACACAATTATATACATTCAGTTAAGACAAGCCAAATTCAATCATCACTGCGTTATCTTTTATACAAAGAAATATCGTAATTTCACAAATAAGTCGTAATTTCACAAGAGTAATGTCGTAATTTCACAAGAGTAATGTCGTAATGAGCAATGTCTTAATTTCACAAGAGTAATGTCGTAATTTCACAAGAGTAATGTCTTAATTTCACCAGAGCAATGTCTTAATTTCACAAGAGTAATGTCTTAATTTCACCAGAGCAATGTCTTAATTTCACAAGAGTAATGTCTTAATTTCACAAGAGTAATGTCGTAATTTCACAAGAGTAATGTCTTAATTTCACCAGAGCAATGTCTTAATTTCACAAGAGTAATGTCTTAATTTCACCAAAGCAATGTCTTAATTTCACAAGAGTAATGTCTTAATTTCCCAAAAGCAATATCATACTTTCAAAAGTGCAATGTCTTACTTTCACAAGAGCAATGTCTTACTTAAACACAAGCAATGTCTTCTTTTTTTTCTTTTTTACAAGAGCAACAACTCGTTTTCACAAAGCAATATCTTACTTTCTCAAGAGAAGGGTAATGTCTTATTTTCACAAGAGCAAAATCTTTTCAAACATCTATTGTTAAATTGTGACACAAGCAATGAGTGGAACAAACATGCATGCTTTTAAAATAAGTGTATATCTCATTTCATGACAATAACTATACTGTAATACATTCCTAAATATTATAAACAATATTTTTATTAAAATTTTGAAATGTTTATAAATCAATAAAGACATTACCAGATATTCTACAAATTGTGACCTTAATCACATGATCCACATTCTTGCATACATTGTACTTTTAAGAATAAAGGGAAAGCATACCACTTGGCTGTATTTTTAGTATTGAGAGAGACGGGGACATTATAGAATATCTGATAATGTCTTTATGTACTCATTAATGGTTTAGCTTTGTTTAAATAACACAAGGAACCCATTCCATTTTTTTTTTTATTTGTAAGCATTGTATTATTTCAGTCTTTTCAGAATTTACATTGTTGTAATTTCTCTTTGCACACAGCACAGAACATTTCTAGTACCATTTCAATTTAATCTTTATCACTCAAATTGATAATTGATGTAAAGTTAGTATGTTATCTTCTTGTGACCTTGGCCAGTGCTTATATAGGAAAGTATCTTCTATAACATCCAACACAAGCTATGACAATAAAGGCTTTTGTCATAGTGATCTCTGACTCTACCCATGGATAATATCATGTCTGAGGAAATTACCCATCTGAGGAACCTAGTAGGGCCATAGTTGTCAGGCTATATGTAAAAAAGAATTATTCCAATTTCATTTAAAGGTATACTATGTCTTAGAATGAACATAACATTTAAGAATTTTAATCATGGTCAATAAGAGCATATATTCATCAGTAGATAGACTTGGTGTCATAAATAACATAACAGGATCCTTATATAATCCGATAAATACAAAAAACTTACTAATTATCCATAAATATGCAATAAACTATTGAAAAATGCTTAATATTAAGATTAAGCGTTTTTCAATAATTGCTTAGTTTTATGATTTTTCCAACTTTTTCCAGAGTTTACAGGGATTCTGTTGTAACTTTATGACACCAGGTAAGTTCACTGATGAATATATACTCATATTGACCATTCTTGTGAACTTAAATTTTATGTTCATTCTAAGATATATATTACTTTAATGTTAAAGAAACAAAAACAAATATACTTACTTGTTAAACTATATCAGCACAGCAAACATATCATTCCATGACAAATATTCTATAACATGCTTCAAACAGGGAGGTGTCATAGAACACAACTTTCTGTATATCAATCAAAATGCAGAAAACACAAGCACACGATGTTTTTTAGTAATAAAACAAGATTATGAATTATAGGGATTTAATATGGATGATCTGGTTGTAAAATAGGTTCACTGGTTTTAGAGCTTTGTCTCTGCTATGTGTATCACTTTTCAGAATGATAATTCTGGTGTTGCATTCATCTACAATTAAGTAGAAACATACCTGCAGAAGTTACGATAGACATGCAGACATCATACAAATTTAAAATCCTTGGTCTTTAATTTCAATAAGAAACTAAAGTCTGTGGTCATTGCCACAAGTATGTTTTTTTTATCTGATTTTGCAAACCAGATGTTAAATTTTCATTCTGGAAAGAGATACAGTCAAGATTGAACTCTGTTAGCATTTAAACTATTAAACATGCACTTATCATCATGCCAAATACCTCATCAATTTTTTCAGCCTCATCTTCCTGTATTTGTAAATAAAAGTATGCTAAGATTTATTGGAGGTATATTTCAACTAGGACTAAGCAGTGAAGCCTTTTTATAGTTACAATAATTTATTGTCCATTTATCAATTTAAAAAATGTGTTTCATATCAAATTCTCATTAACCAAAAAGGAAAATAAGGTTCATTAATCAAATGAAATCACATCCATGCATTGGAAAAGATAATTATAGAGTTCCCAGACTTGGCCTACATTTCTATTTAATTAACTCTAAGCATTAATTGAATCTGTGTAAATGACAACTACACTGGTAACTAGTTTGAAATCCTCACTAATTAATCACATTGAACAAAAACAACTCTATTTCCAAGAGCATAAGACAGACATTAAAATTAGTCTGCAATACGTTAAAAGCCTTATTTCACTGTATTTTGAAATCTTAAAGGAGCATTCCGCATTTTTTGTCAGTCAAAAATGTTTTCTGGACGATATAGGCTTGCGTAAGATTTTTCAGCACAAGAATTGAAGCTGACAGAAAATCAAAACAGTACTTTGCTTTGTTTACATGACCTTCACCTTTCTTCATTTCTGTTCTACCTTAACCGCAATCTGACTGGTCAGATATAAATAGCACCTATCTCATTTCCACAAAGGGAAGTGTAGAGGGCTTAGTTTAATACAGGTTAATAAGACCATGTCAAAACCTGTATTCAGGATACGATTGTGAAAAATGTATACCAAATTTTCTAGCGCCATGTTTGAAAATGTGGTCTCTTCAATAGTCTTTATTCATTGTAGTATTCAAAGTTTTCTTAAATAATTCAGGTACTTCGACATGTTAAGTGACCTATAGTTGAAGGAATTGGTATCAAAGATATTGAAAATAACAATATTTAGAAGGTGTGCTAAATAACATATTGATAAGGAAGTGAGTGGGCTGCACAAATAACTGTCTGGACGTTGACCACAGGAAGAAAGGCTGGTATAATCAAAGCTAACAGATTATTGATGTGAATATATAAGCTTTCAAAGACAGTATTAGTTTAAAAATTAGTTTTAAATATTTCCTTATCAGATTCTATGGTATATGATCATGTGTTACAAGATTAATTTACTAGTTAACTGACATTATGCTAAATGAAAATATTGGAACAGCATTCATATGAAGTTCAATACAATTTTTATCAATTCAGTAAATAAACCATCATAGAAGCTTAAAAACAAAAAATTCACTCTAGCTTTATTCAAACTGAATTGTTAGATCTGTTTTTGCTGTCAAAATGCTGATTCCATGTTCATAACAGTGTTATTCATTTTTAGTTGACACTTGTCGGTCTATACCAGGCCTCTGATAACTATTGTGGAGGCTATCAGAGATATATCATAGTTAGGGCTGTGTAATGATTGAAATAATCGATTATCGTCGCAAAGAATTTATAATTTCGATTATTGATTATCAATAGTATCAAAAGTTATATTTTCTCCACTGTACCCGGTAGTAATCTCATCCACATAGTCTCCCTTCAGCATATAACATATCCACAATAGACTATTATAATGTTTTTAATTTAGTATTTACAGGATTTCTCAATTGAATTATTTTGATTATTAATCAATTATTGAACGATATTAATTTGGTAATCAATACCCAGCCGTAATCTTTATAGTAAAACATTCTGACACTCAGATGGTTTTGAGAAAAGCAAACAATTGTCGATAATGAAATCCATTTCTCCACTAATAGCTATCTGAGATTAGATATAAATTAAGTAGACTGTCATACAAAACAAAGCAGTTTGGTCTTCATAATGTCAAGCTATTCGAACTTCTTCTTATACTTTGACTGCAATAGCCACCTTCCATGTGTCACAGTTTTTAGTAAATGCAGCGATTTGATTAGCTGCACAATTGCAAATAATCAATTCAATATGATCACTGCTAGATACAAGAAAGGTGACTGTTGCAGTCAAGGTATAAGACAAAGTTCATAATAACATAGCATTGTGAAGATGCTCAAATATATAATTTATCCTATTCAAATCAACACAAATACTTACAATAAGTACAGAGCCTGACGAAACTTCTTTTGGTTCCTCTAGTTTAAGAAATACATATAAATCATTTGTTTCTACAGAGTTTGCAAATTTTTCATAATCCTGAAAAAAAAAGTTTGAAAAATTAGTTTCAAATATAACACATATCATAATGGTGTTCCAGTTCCAAGATTTATCTTGCTACATATGTTACAATGGTCATAAGAGATGCTATGCAATTAGGGCAGGGTAAAACGATCAAAATTTTCGATTATCGATTATCAAATTTCATAATCGATTATATCTCAAAGTTACATTTGCAGAAATAACCCATGAAGACTTTTGACATGTTTTTAATTTAGTATTTACAGAGTTTCTCAAATACATAAGTTCAAAATAAACTAACAGGCTGAATATACAATTTCCATAACTACAGAATTCAAAGGCATCTTTGACCTATTAAAGGTAGTGAAGCATGAACTGCAAAAATTTAAGCCAATTACATGAGTTGTTTATAATTTCCATTGAGGTTGACATACTTTAACATTTGAAAATACTTGCCTCATAAAGTCAAGCTAATGGAAAAATAACACTCTTTTAAATAACTAACTGTCATAAGGACTGAATATCCGAATATGTGTTTTCAGCATGAGATAAACTCTAGACAATCAAATATATTTCAAATTGATATCACACCAAATTCTAATTTTGGTAAATCAAGTGAAATTTTGATGTGTAAGCTTATTTCTCAGTAGCAATTCAAAATGTAATTTGATTTGATTCACAGATCGTCATGATAATTTTGGCGAATCAAAAGAAATATTGGATAGCAAAACGGGTCATTTTGAATCTCAAATTGCGATGCGATACCACTTTTAAAAAATGGAACTCTACTTATCAGTGAACTTATTATCAAAAACTTAATTTGAGATGATTTTAGTGTTCTAGTCATCTGATTGATCAAATTTTAAACTAAGTTTTATTATCCAATCAGATTATTGCATTTACTAAAATCTGGATTTTAGCTTTCAAGATTAAGTATTTCGAGAATATAAGATAAGTAAGTTTACTTACTCCACAATATTCATCATCATTAAATATCTGAGGGGGTAAGGGAAATTTGCCGTTTTTTGCTTCACTGTTGGCCCTCATAAATTTCTTGGCTTCTTCTTCACAAGGATCAGAAATATCAATAGTTTCATGGTTAATCTGTAAACTTTCTAAAATATCTAGAACATGTTGTTGCTGTTTTCTTATCTACAAAATAAATTATCATAAGGGTGAATTCATTTGATCTAAAAGCCTCAAATATGGGTGTGACATCTAAAATGGCCACCAATTGGGCTGGGCAATAAAAAGGCCTCACATTCATATCAATTTTAATCAGATATCGAATTAGTAATTGCTGGTAATAATTTGTTGTGGAAACTGATATACCATAAACATTTTGTCATTTGGAAACCTTCTTAAAATATTATAATTTCTGTCAGGAACTATGTGATTAAGATCGTTGAAATATTGGTCTTCAGTGGGAATGACCATCATCAACAATGACATTATATTACAGGTGAACTGCAAACTACTATCTACAAATTGTACCATTTGGAACTCAATTGTGTTTCAATGAAATATCTACTCCAAATAGTAAGCTTACTGAAGGTCCAAGATTTTCCATGGTTGGTGAAATTCTAAATAATGAAAATTATTAGAAACAGTATTTGGAAATATGATATTTCAGAATGGGATTTTCAGTCTGAAATGTAGGTCACTTTTTTTCATGTAATATTTCACAAGGAAATTTTTTTATCTTATTTTATCTATTTTAAAAAAGATCAATTAAATGGCATGCAATAGGAAATATTGTAGTTGGAGAATAGTGGGACACTATAAGCTAGTGGGATTGGGATTCAAATAATTGTCGAGGCGAACCAATGCAAATGCATCATAGTCCCAAGCCTCTCATGAAACATCTGAAAATTTTTTGTGCAAAACACAATATAATTTAGGATGGGGACATAACACACTCTTGCATAGGCGTGAATCTTGTAGCCTACTTCGGTACTGGCTAGGATTGAGAAAGCCTTATTCTTATTTTTTAATTAATTGTTTGTTTACATTGTTTCATAATATCTCATTTAATGAACACCAGATTTCTGTATACATTTAGCTCTATAGTTTTACTCTTCAATTATATCAAACAACTCTTAATAGATAGGGCCTATTACAGTTCGTATGATGATTGAAATGATTGATCATTATCCTGAAAGATTGTTATCATTCTTTTGAGACTTGAGAAGTTTCAAGAGTGCAGCCAAAAATAGTGTAGGCTAAAAATACGATTGTGTAGAAATATTACTTACAGCATTGGAACTAAAAAACTGTGTTGTATACACACGGACAACCATTTTGCCTAAAAATTTCCGTGGATCCAGGGGCAAAAAGTACAGCAAATCAAGACAAATCGAGACACCCAACACCGAAAACCCCTCAGCTAACAAATTTGCCAAAGTTTACCAAGTTAGGGAAGTACGTTCAATGTCATGACGTAATATACTCATAGGTGAGAAATTCCCTTCTGACGTCAGCAATATATGTGCACAATGTTGTTGCTGGGATGATAAACAAAATACAGCGTAACATGCAGTACTGCTCAAAGTTGAATGCGGCCACGATTGTTTTTTGTACGCTTAAAATTGCATTTTCACATATGCCACACATAAGTGCTTTTTTTTGTCGAATTATCAACAAACTTCGCAACTGATAGGCAACAGGTTAGTCGGAGGCGTCAGATTTTTACGGACACCTGATCGTAGTTAATAATTATTAGTGGTCTGATTCCTGTTTTCACTGGTTTGTTTACTGGATACGGATTGTACGTCAGAAATATTTTTCTGTGGACATTATTTTCCTCGTGTTTTTTATTTTTCCTGCCTGTTGTTTTTAAATATCTACGTTGTGAAATAAGAATCGCTGGTATACATTTTTATATACTTTTATATCAATTAATGGGTATTGTCTGGAGGGCTTCAGAGTTGTCAGAATGCCGCAATGACAAAACCCCAGCATCGCAACTATCCAATTCAGTGTAGTTCTAGTCTAGTTGATCTAATCCTAAATGACCTTATTTTCAAGGGTCCAAACTAGACTTAGGCTAATCTTATTAAAATATATATCAAGAATAACATTCACATCTCGCCACAAAATCAATGAGTGAATGAGGACATATAATCTAATAAACTAAAGAATGTACAAACAGAACATGCTACTCAGAGTTTCATGTTGTACAATCTTCTGACAACTGATGTTATCCCTTATTTAACATTCCCCTGTCTTCATTAGCCCACATGGTGCAGAAAAATAGTACGTAAAACTCCATTAATTTCATTTTCATTTCATTCCAGTTACAGGGAGTTGCAGTGGCACAGTGAGCTGGACACTTGCTTATCTTAAGGGGTTCAATGACAGCACAGGTTGAGACATCTTCTCAATGACACAATGTCTTATGTCAAGCTATTACGAACTGTGTCTGATACCTTGACTGCAATAGCCATTTTTCTTGTATTATATAAGTTTGTAAATGAAGTTATTTGATTGGATTGTACGCAACCAAATACAGCCAATCAGAGCCCTCAACAAAAAGTCTTTCGAATAATCTATAATGATTACAGTCTTTATGTCAAGAGTTTCGATTGGCTGTATTCTCTCTCGTACAATCCAATCAAATCACTGCATTTCTTGATACAAGACAGGTGGCTATTGCAGTCAAGGTATTAGTCGCAGTTTGTAATAGCTTGGCATTGTGAAGTTGATGTTGAGATAATGTCTTTGCATATTAGTGTCACAATTGCCCCTGACTAAAGACTAAATAAATTAATGCTGCTTTTATCATGTCTGAAACAGTGATGATATTTATTATGTGTTTTTAGGTATAATTCTACACAATGAACTGATTATCGAAAGAGAACACCATAAAAAGAAAAAATGGCTTCACCATCTCGCTCCTTGTATAGTGATGATGATTATTCAGCAAGATATGATAGTGATAGTTTTGCTAGTGATGATGATGTGGTGTCCATCAGACAGACTTCCTATACCAGTAAACCTGCAGCTAAAAAAGGTTTGACTTTTTTAATGCATTAAAAGGATATTGTTGTCCATTTATTTGCTTTACTAGTTGATGTAGTTATATTTGTGAGGTACCCAGTACCAATTTCACTCTTTGTGTGCCCTGCACAGTACCACAATACAGTTGAAGTTTAGGCTTAACTTACAGAGTTGTAGCCTACAAAGAAGGGAAAAGATTACTGTTTAGGGCACAGGGACATTGTAGAATATCCGGCAATGTCTTGATGGACTCAATAATGGATCAGCATTTTAAAGGTATCTTACCAAAAGTTATGTCAAATTTGGCTTTTGTCATGGTTTAAATATTCAAAAACCAGTGACCCAAATATGGATTGGAGCAACTCCAATGAAATGTGACCTTTGACCTTTGATGATATTCCATCCATAAGCTTATATTATGTCCTAGGAAAGGGTAGGGCAACACTTTAATTTAGACTTTTGTGTTTGTTTACCTGATATTATATTTAGGTCTTTAGGATTAATTGCATTTTGAAGAATAATGTACTGGTACTGTTTACTTTCAGCAAGTCCATATACTATACCCAATAAAGGTGCCAAAGGAAGAGGTCGAGGCAGAGGTCAATTTGGTTCAAAACACAGTACACCACAACCTGCTAACTCTGTAGCTAAACGTATGTTATCTGCTAGTCGTATAAGGATGAATGAATATAGAAATCAAATCGAAGAGCTTAATATTCGAATACGAGAACTAGCTGAGGAAAATAAGACACTGAAAAAAATGCAATTCCGTCACCAAAAGGCCTTAGGTAAATTTGAAGAACAAGAGAGCGACTTGCCTCTTCTTCTGACAAAGCATGCCAACGAAGTGCGGACTCTACGTGAACAGAATCGTAAAATGAAAGATAAATTCAATCAGACTGATCGTTATCTACGTGATGCAGAAGATGAATTGGAAAATACCAAGTCACATTTAAAGAAATATAAAAAGTTATGTAATCAGAAAGGACTAAAAGAAAGAGATGAATTATATCGTACAGTACAACAATCGGAATTATGGTTAGAAGAAAAAGATTCTCGGATAAAGGTCTGTAAAATCATTCATATCATCACTCACATATCTGGCCTGGCAATATATCTGTCTACCTGTCAAGCTGCGAAAAGACGATGTATGGTGTCAGGGGGGGAGAACACACGAGGTACAGGTCCAGACACAATGCGGACATGATTCACTTCTACTATTTTCTGCTGTATCGATAATCCTGCATCGTACACTGAACCGTCAGACTCCATCCATTGGTATGTTTGCTCTGCCAGTATGTCCATTTTTTGTTTGTCTGTCTTGTCTATTTGTATGCGCCCAATGGTTTATGTGTCTACTGGACTCTTAACAGATATCCAGTGTTTTTATGTGAATAATATTTACATCTACCTCTAACACCAGAAAAAAAGAATATCACAATATGGACAAGACTTGGGCAACATTGATAATCCAGAAACGTAAACCACACCAGACAGTGGACATGTGTATGGGTCAAGTTTTATATCAATTTTGATATGCTGTTAAGAATAATAAGAATTAAGAACCAAACATGTTGGAGATAAAATTTCTTTCGAGAGAGTTTGCTGGGCGTATTCCATTCTTATAGTATTAATTATTTCCATAGAGATAATCAATACCCAAATTAGTTGTTAGATCGTTAATTGAACTTCATTCATGTCATCCTGTCATAGTGATAATGATAAATTGATCAACCAAGAACACCATTCTCTAACTTCCAAATGATGTTATCTTAGCTTATATTATGATACACCTGTGTAGTTGTGGTTATGACAATGATTTGCAGAATTTGGCAAGTCAATTATAAGCAAAAAGAGATATTAAAATTTTGAATTTTTTTTTTTTATTCATATCACTGGCACAGCAATTGTTGTAAATCCACACATTCATTTATCTAATACTTTATAAAGGGATCGTAAAAAGGTTTTCTCTAAACTTTTCTTGTGTATTAAGAACACTGACAGCATCGATTTTCACCATTCTAATTTTCAATTGGATGTCTCTGGCTCTTGCAATTCCACTAAAAATAAACATTTTAATATTTAGGTATCACAAAGACCCTTTTGCAATAATGAAATCATAAAGCGGTTAAGCATAAGCTTATCTATAATTGTAGACATCTGACTAAAAAATGGAATGATGCAAAATGAAGCCAGAAATGTCTTAAAAATAGGGAAAAAAACACTTAACAATTCCCTTTAATCTGTAAAATGTCTACATTGCGGGCAAAAAAAATTATAGCAATTCATGATGATTGTTTCTGTTTAATGCTGAAATTCTTAATGCAATCACTTCACAAAAACCATGGGGGAGAAATAAGTCTGGATATACATTACTCTTTGATTAGATGATGTGTAAAGTGATTCATATTTCATTTATATTAATATTATAGGAATTGGAACGACATATAGAGGCATTAAATAAAAACCACAGACATGAAATGGGAATAGAATTGGCTCATCATAGAGAAACCAAGAAACAGTTAAAGATGTTAGAAGGAAAACAGAGTGATGTTGTATTAGCACTAAGGGTAAGGTATATTTGATTGTATTCAGGACCCTGTTTTGTAAAATCAAATAGGGTTATTACAAGCTAAGGCATATGTATGTATATGACAAATATTATCATAGAGTTCTATGTAAAAAAATCTTAATTTGTTGGTAAATATACCAAAGGTGGGACATCATTATAACTTCATGATATAGAGTATTTATATTGTTAGTAATTATATTTCCTCATAAAATAATTGCGAAATATTACCATATTCTGATGGATGGTGGTTATCATGAGATAAACCAAAAAAGCGTCAAATTTCACCAATTTAAAATTGGAAAAAAACAAAACATTTTAGTTCAAAAACCATTAGAAATCTTAAGAAATATTGTGATATAAAACTTTTATAGTGATATATTTATGATAAATATTGTGATTTCCACTTGAACCAATATCGCCCATCCCTAGTAACAAATGCAAAGGGAAAAGTTTTATAATTTATTATAAATTGTGTGATAATTGGTGCTGAATTGGGATGTCAGAAACTGTGGATTATCTTACTGAGACTGACGATTTCTAATAACTTGTTAATATTTAAGTTAAAAATATCTTGAATGTGGATATAATTTATTTTAGATAGTAAACTAACATACATTCGCCATTTTAACCTTACCTGCAACCATAGGTCATTTTCACAATGTCAAGTTTTATAAATTCTGTGTAATACCTTGACATCATTAGCCCATTTTCTGTCATCACCCAAGTTTGTAAGCTCAATTAGATTAGATTGTGGGCTTTTAAGTCTTTCTGCCAAGGGCTTTGATTGGCTGTTTTTGCTGGCGCACAATCGTATCCAATCAAATCGCTGCATTCAGATGCAAGCTTGATGCAAGAAAAGTGCATAATGATGTCAAGGTATTAGATGGAGTTTGTTATACCTTTAGTTAGCCGGTGAATAAATTGCTCTTATTTCAGGAAAAAGAAAAGGAGTTAGAAATTAAAAATATATATAGTAATCGATTGATGAAGGCATCACCCAAACATCATGCTTCATATAATGGAACACCACTACATACACCTCCGCCAGGTCGTAAGAAACGCATCCCGTCACTTACAGATCTTACTTCCAGAGAAAAAGTGAAATTGTATGAAGAAAAACGTAGAATGGAAGAAAAGAAAAAATCAGAGGTGAGAATTTTTGTAAACCGTAAACCTGCCCGTACGCCTTAGCAATTAGCAAGTGGTCATGAGTACTGAACACCAACTCACAACTCAGTTGCAGAACTTGCATTCAGAATTTATGATCGCTATTGCTTTTAGCAACCATACATAACTTGAGATCGCAATGGTGTGAAGGCTTCTTAAAGAAATTGTTATGAACTAAATAAGCTTTTGAAAAAGTTAATTGGGAATAACAAGACATCATCTTTATATTTTCTATATGAAGGCACTTTTCTTGCATCACAAAAGCAGCAATTTGATTGGATTGTACATTGGCAAAAACAATCAATCAAAGCCCTTGGCATAAAGACTTTAACACCAAGCAGAGCCTTCTACAGAAAAAAAATTTGCTTGTTTAAGTACAGTTAGTTCCTGTGAACTACATTTTCTGAATGTTTGTTTTTGTGTTTTCCAGTCTCCAAGGCACAAGGCAAGAGATATCTGGACTGAAAAAGAGAAAGTATCAAAAGAACCATTAAAAACAAAACAAGATGAAAATAAAGTTAAAAACAGAATTGAAACAGAAGAAGAAGCAGATTTATGGATTCAGAGAGAACGTAACAGAATAAAACTGGAAAAGGAAGAACAAGATAAAAGAAAGTTATTGGAAGATGAGAGAATTAAACGAAATGAACAAGAAGAGAAAGAAAGCAAACGAAGAGAAGAAGAAAGAGATAGAAGATTAAGAGAAGAGCAAGAGAGAGAAAATAATTGGAAAGAAGAGATAGAGAGAGAAAGACGAGAAAGAAAGCGAAAAGAAGAACAAGAAGAGTTTGAACGACAGGAAAGATTAGACCGTGAAAAGAGAGAAGAGGAAGAGAGAAGAAATAGAGAAAAGAAAGAAGAAGAGAGAATAAAACGCTTAGAAGAAGAAAGAAAACAGCGCTTAGAAGATGAAGCCAGACGGCAAAGAGAAGAAGAAGCTAAATTACGAGAAAAAGAAGCAGAAGAAGAACGAAGAAGATTGGAAATAGATCCAAAATTACAGGAAGAAAGAAGGAAGAAGGACCGGTTATTGGCCAAGTTGAAACAAATGGATAACTCATCTGAGAAAATACCCGAACCGTTGTCCATGAAAGCTGATTCTCCTCAAAGAGCTACATTTATTACTTCAAATCCTTCATATTCCCCTGGCTTAGATAGCAATTATTCCACTAAAAGCAACTACAGTTTCACTAAACCTACTGAAAACTTACATAATGGTTTACCCTCTCATGATGATGTTTCAATTCCTTACATAGAAAAACAACGCAAAATTAAATCTAAAAAAGAAGACGAAGAAGTTGGAGGTTACAAACCGTCTTTTACATCCAGTATTTTCAATAGTGATAATCTGAAAGCTCCCCCTGTTAACAATAAGACAATGATTTCTAAGAACAATGATAGTCAGAGAACTACCATTCCTGCAAGTTCTGAGAGAAAGGCCAAGTTATTAAATGATCTTTTTGGTAAAAAAACCGAAGACACGAAATCAAATGAAGACTTTGGTTTCACTGAAAAAGTTAGAAAATCATCTGGCACAAAGACTTCTCCTTTTCCTTGGGATAATGCCGAATCAAAGATTATAAATAATTCCTCTGCTAAACGAGAAAATTCCAGCACTCTGTTTGGTGGTGGATCAGCCTTAATTGAATTTGATGATGGATTTGAAAATGGTGCAACTAAATTATTACCAAAGCGACCCCAACACACTACCACAACATTTAGTTCAAAACCAACTGTAAATGCAATAGATAATATAGAAGATGATATTGAAGAAGTCATGTTATGATGAATCATTCATATACCATAAATCATCTTTATAATGTCAAGTTATTACAAACTTCATACTTATACCTTGACTGCAATAGCCACTTATCTGGTATCATGGAATGATGCAGTGATTTTATTGGATTGTATGCCAGCGAAAACAGCCAATCAGAGACCTTGATAGAAAGGCTGGAAATATCATGGCTTATTGTTAAGAGACTTTCTATTGAGACCCCTGATTGGTTGTATTCGCTAGCATACAATCCAATCAAATCACTTCATTTACAAACTACCATGATACAAGAAAGGTGACTATTGCAGGCCAGGTAAACTTAAATGTATGAAGTTTAAAATATATTTTGACATTGTGAAGATGACCACAAATATACTTTGATATTTTCAAACGAAGATATTTTTCCTCAGTTGGGGCTTCGTTTCTCAAAATTTATCGACAAATTGTGGCTTGATTTTGCTTTATACAATGCAAATTTTAACTTAAATTAGTT